CTTGAATGTTCGGGTGATGCAATGGATAATGGCTCGGAATTTTGAATTCGGAGAGCCGAGTTCCAATTCCAGTTGGGTTCGTTATATTCACTTGCGCGCAAATATCCTCAAGAAAAGTATCCACCTCATCTCTTGGTTAATTAGTAATAAATTTACCACTAAACCATTATTAATTAAAAAAAATCTTAAAACATATAAATATTCCCTGGCTTTAAATAACCTTGAAAGGGTTGATAAGCCGTAGAAAACGAATCAATCAATGTTTCACATCTTGAATCTTGCACATTTACAAATCTACCATTCGTCGGTGCTGCCATATCAGTTTTGGTACTACTGCTATTCATCTTGAAGTTCTTGACTAAAACCAAAAAAGGATCTGTAATGTAATCGATCCTGACGTGACATCTCGACTTCAGTCATTTTTACACCGTCGTGTTGTGGCTTCCCTCTGTCTTTTTTACATATATTTTCATAGCAACGACTCTGATGAGTTTTTTTTTTTTTCTGATGTCCCGCATACATAATTTTAAGCTTGCAAATAAATTGGCATCTAGGTTTCTAGAAATATAACCGCCACTTCTATCACCAACAGTTTCTTTTCTCGCACTTTCCACCTGTGGAAATCCCTTCCGTTTACTTGCTTCCCTGATAATTACAATCTTAAAAAGTTTAAATTCAACGTTAATCGCCATCTTCCGTCTTTTTTGAATCTCGTTCATCTTTCCTCAATCTTCCCTGTACACTTTTCTTTCATTTCACTCTCTGTAACCCCCTGTGTACTAAGGATATTCCCGCCTTGCTTAGGGCGAAATGATTAAAAAGAAATTAAAAAAAAAAAATTTTTTGGTTACATTTTACCTTAAGTCTTCTCGGTTACTTACGCGTTCCGTTCATGGTATTCTCAAAATCCCTTGGTAGAACCATGTTACTATTTCTTTAGGTTTCTTCTTCATCTGTGAAGGAGTTGCCTAGTATTCACTGCCATATAAGAGGATCTATAACGCATAAAAATTAGTACTATTTCTTTTTTAATTTTCTAATTAAATGTGCCTTTGTCCTGATTACTTTTCATAGCATTTGGAATTCATTCTTTGCTAATCCATCCTTTGCTAATCCATCCTTTGCTAATTCAATGCACATTCTAATTTCGCTATCGCATTTTCCATACGCTTTTAGTAATGAGAATGAATGCTAAGAATATGCGGAATTAATAATTAGTCGGCGAAGCTCGTTATCCCGAACCTACGCTAAAGATTATTACCGTTAAGAAATAAAAGATTCGAATACCACATTTCGCTTTGTAATCAATCGGGTGAGAAATGGGATAATTAAGAGGTGAGGTTTTTTTTTCGCACAAGGAATATTTATTAAATTCTGAATAAATCAGGATAAAAGATACTTTTTCTTAAATTGTGATACGAGAAACAATTGTCTAACTGGTCACAGCTAACAGATTTGAATATGTAATCTGTCTTGCGTATATAAACGAACTTCAATGACATAAGATATGCAGACGACACATTATTGTTGGCAGACACAGAAAGAAAACGTCTGTTACTTCTAGACAAGATGTTAAATGAAAGAGAGAAGAAAGGACTAAAGATCAATTGTTAGAAGAGAGAAGGTATGATTATTAGCAAAGAGATAATCCAAAATGTGAGCTACAAATGGGTGATGATATTACAGTGGGTCTCAGATTTTTTGAAGTCGGAGCGCCTTTGAAATCCTACCAATAATTGTAGGCGCACTATACAAAAATTTCGGAAAAATATGTTATAATGAAGTCAAATGTTGCAAAAAAAATATAAGGCAATAAAAAATATAAAATAAAACATACATTAATTTTGTTCATTCATGTGTTTATGAGAAACATGTGTCTGATGAGTTATTGCGATTTCTTCAATGTTTGGGCGTATATTTGATATGCAAACTCTCACTTCCTCGTCAATACATTGAAGAGTTCCTCTCTTTCTGTACGTAATTGTGGTAGGAGCGGAAAAGCCTAATTCGCATAAATATGAACGAGACAGGTATCGCAATATTATAAAGTATATTTATTTCTTATATCTGGATACATATTTCATTGGAATGCCAGGGTGCACCTAGACATCTTCCAGGGTGCACCAGTACGCCCTGGCGCACCATTAGAGAACCAATGTGTTACCATAAAGTATAGATAAAGTAACAGATAACGGGACAAATTCAGAATTCCGAAGGCGCATTGAAACAGCAAAAGATGCCTTCCAAAAATGAAGCACAACATTAAGAAACAGAAAAAATATATTGGAAAGAAAGATAAGAGTGTGAAATGACAATGTAACATAAACCATGTGACAATGAATAAGAAACATATGTCTCTCAGATGAAGAAGAAACTTCAGGAAGATCTACAGAAGGATACTGAGAATACCATGGACGAATCAGTGAAGGTAATTTGTGCGTTACTTTACACAGTCTCTCTTACATTCAATCTGTCTCGTGGGTATCTGTTGAAACTTGACTAATGCATGGAATAATAATGCAACACAAAATGTACTTAGAACAAAATGTATTGAAACAAGAAAGTGTACACAATATTTACATATAGTCTTTTGTATATTCCTGGTAAGACCGTTCCTGGAGAATGTGTTGACTGAGTCGCAGTCGGGCATAGTCTCTGGTTGAATTTCTTGATTCCTCCCTCTCTTCCCGGTACCAACCATATTTATATGGTCGGTACTCCACTATGCAAATTAGGTGGATCCTACCACAACAGTATCAAATTTTCCAAGCCCTCTTTTCTTATTATGTGCACTAAAAATTATTAACTGGTGTTACTTATGTGACTTTTTACATATTACATCGTTTTATTCGTTTAGTTATTTATTTTTGTTCATTTTAGCTTAATTATTCCGTTACCTTTATTATTTTTACATTTGACGCCATTTAAGTGACTGGGTGTATGTGACTCGAGTTTGTAACTTTGAGCGGAATCTCTTAAGAAAAAGAATTCTCATTTCATACTAGATTTCTTATAGGCGAATTAAAGAAAAAATTAAATTAAAATTAGTTTTTTGATATGCCTTTATATTTAACCTCCCCCACTGTCTCACGCACGGTCATAGGTTTTGAAAGGTGATGAATGGAGTGTGTGCTAATAGATAGTTTCATTTTTTAATAGGCGCTGACCTACCAAAAGTAGATTTTTTTTTTCATTTTAGAAGACAACGTAAGTTAATTTGTTAAAATCTAAATTGTAGTAAAAAAAAAAAAATAATAATTAAGCTAGAGAAAAGAAAAAGGTCTAACGTCTCCGCCTAAACTCTGAAATTTAATTTGCTATTTTTTATCTTTTCTTTCTTTTCTCACAGGGAGTGGATGGGTTAACATATCGCCCGGTTCCTGCTCCTCTTAGGTCTTTTGAACCTAAGTAGTTGTTTATCTCTTGGTTACTTCTGAGGTCTACTTCAACTGACTCTGAAATTTTATTATATCGTTTTATTTTTTTGCTAATTTATGTTTGTTCTCTTAATTGATCCGTTATCGTTTTCAATTTTACACTTGCCGTCATTCACGTGTGTGGGGACAATTCTGTTCAACTTGTCACTGGTTTTGTCACTCTTAAGAAAAAGGAATTTTCCTCTTACACTAGATTTCATATAAGCGACTTAAAGAAAATTTATTTAATTCTATGTTTTGATATCCTTTATTTATGCAAATCTGCATTTTTTCACTCGCTGTTTGACCTCTCCCTACGTCTCAAAGACGGCTATAGGCCTTCTTAAGGTACGTTAGCTTTGTTTTTTTTACGGCATATCAGCCTCTTAGGAGCAATTTTTTTATAAAGATGGTACCTGCAACTCGGAAATCCGCATACGGATTGCCGCAGCCATGGCAACGATGGACAAATTGGAAAGAATATTTCAAACAAAGAACATGGACAAATCGGATAGTCAAAAAGTCAACACTTTCAAAATAAAGACTATCAAATGCATGACACCGATGAAATTAGGAACGTGGTCGTGGGAAAACGTTGAATGGACGCCAAAATGTCAAAACTGGTGGGCCAATGTCAAACAATCACGACACCGATGAAAGGGACTACAATTCAAAATTGCTTGGACAATGGCTGCCGGTGATAGACCGTTGATGGCTGCCGTTGATAGACCGTTGTGGAGGAGATTTAGTGTGGCTTCTGCATTCGGATCATTCCACCCACGAATACAAGATAAGGGGATGATGATCATCATTATCAACATGCCGGCGATGGTGATGATATCAACTTCAATGGGTTATTTAATGCCGGCAAGATTTTCATTGTTGGTAATAATTTTTCCCCCAAAAGTATCGCAGGTAATAAAACCTATTTTGTTCACTTTCATAGTGCTTTGACACCAGTTTGAGGGTTAATTATTTGCCCATAGCTGGGATCAGAGGAATTGTTGTCGGGTGTAGTTTGTCATTATGCCCATTACGCAGATGTAATTTATCGTCATACGCAGGATGCCTCTTTGCAGAGGTGCAATCATCGTATCCTGAAGCCCCAGCCGACAGGACGATCATAGACTTTGGAGGGTAAGGAAATGTTGGATGATAGATAATTCCACTTCTTAATTTTCTATAGGTTGTGGAAAAAGGCCTAGTTTATTTTCACATAACTTTTTATAACTCACTCTTGTCAAAAAAGCATTATAACCGGGGCGGACAACCCGCGGCTTTCGGGTCACATGCTCTTTGACCTTTAATATGCGGCTCTTTGACCTTTCATATGCGGCTCTTTGACCTTTAATATGCGGCTCTTTGACCTTTAATATGCGGCTCGTGGAAATATTTTGGTTGAGCCCCATTTGTCATCACAGTTAATATAAAAAGTGGGAGGCACGGTGGAGTAATGGATAGCGGCTTCATTGAGGAATCGGAGAGCTGAGTTTCAATCCCAGCCGAATCCATTACATTCATATCACTTGGGAAAGGTATGTCTCCTTCTCTTCTCACCCCAGCTATGGGTAAATAGCAGGACAG